ACGTATCCTCATGGTGTAATGAGGAACTCAAATCCTTCCTAGTTCGGGGACTACGGCAAAAAAAAAGGTTGCTCGTCAAAGATTGGGGCCCTTGTGCCTAGTATTATCATTGTAAAATGATAAATTAGAGTGTCCTTAGTTCTGGGTAAGAAGGTCTATTTGTTGGTCGATTTTAGAGAAAGATATTTAGTCGTATTCGACAAAAAAACATTGCTTTACCCAAAATAGGGGAGTAGCAGAAGTTGTCATCACAACATAATGGATTTACAAATCAACATTCATGGGAAATTCCTCTTATCTCAACTCAGATAGTATGTGGGCGAAGCAATGTTTTACGTCATCTCAAGACACAATATCATACGTTTATAAAAAAAGGTTTTAAGATTAATCGCACAACGGCGAGAAAAATAGTATCATTGGTTGGATGCTTTTTAGGTGAATGACAAACATTTGATGAGAATCAATTGTTCAAAGAGTTACGCCAGAATGCTAAATCCTAACGACTCTTTTCATTCAAGATGTTATGAAAAGTGTTTGATGGACAATGAACTCTTGATGATGATCAATTACTTAAAGAGTTATACCAAGATGATAGATCTTAAAGGCCCTTATTTGTCCAAGTTGATATTAAATATTTTAAGAAATGAAGGAAATGAACAAACGTTTATCCCAATGCGTGACGCTCGAGATCGATCATTTGAGGTTCTGCTAGAATGCTAGATTCCAACAGTGAACTTCTTTTGTGTTTATTGAGAAAAGAGTTCCAAAGGTGCAAAGACCTAGGTCAAAGTTTTGATTACGAAAATGTGCTCGATGTTGATCGAAGTTTATTCATGATTGTGAAAGGGTTTAAAATTATAGGATTGAAAGGAAAGGTTGATGGCGATGCATGAAGCAATCGACTTACAAGTAAGATGTTTTAAGAAAGGGCTTGATGTTGAAACAATAACAAGTTTGAAATGGATTTGTCAAATGAAAGAAGTAAAATGGTGATTAATTGGTGTTGGCCAGTGTTTTTGAAAATGGATCTTGGTGTTGACCAAGTCGTTTTGATTTTTGAACTCGAGTTCCAAAATCTAGTTACAACATTCTTTCTATCTTCCATCTTTTTCTTCTTTATTCTTGTGCACAAACAAGTACCTCTTTGATTAGATAGAATCATCTCAATATTATATCTTCCTTTATTAAAATTTCTTAGAGTTTCATACAAAACTTAGATTTCAAATTTTTAAACAATGATAGATTTTACATTTCATGTTGACAATATTCAAAGTGCTTATTCTAGGTCAATTCATTTTATTTATGATTCTTTCATTTTCTTCTTCCAGATTGAGAACATGATTTTTATATGTGACAATAATCTTTTATAACTTATCATTTTATTTGCTTACTTTATACTAAGGTCATACAATTGCTTAAAAGAAAGATTAGTTATATTTACCTCATCATATTTTGACTCATTAGATGATTATAGGTTGTTTTTCCCTTTGCGAGATCCTTATTGTTTTCTTCTATCTCATTTCGCACTAGTTTGTCTTCTTTAAGTTCTTGATTATTTTTAACTCATTCATCGTTTTTTTTGAAAATTATCAATAACATTTGTATCTTAATATTTTAGTATTGGATTAAGTTTCCAACACAAGTGTTTAAATATTAGATTCTTGTTAGAGATACAATTTTTGAAATGGTTGCCAATATTTTTAACATTAAAGACAAGATTTGAAGATTTCCTTCATTATTGTTAGGTATCACTAATTCTTGGTCTATTATGTTCATATTTTCCCTTTTAATCTCAGTAGAGCCTTCATAGGTCACTTCAAGGGTGTAACATACTTTTTTAGCAGCGCTACAGTTAGAAACATAGTTGTAATCTCTAATTCTTAACAAACTAATGATCAAGTATGTGGCTTTAAAATCTTGTTGCGCTTTTTGTTTTTCCTCTATAGGCCAAAAATATCTTGGTTTGTTCATGGCGTCATTATTCATGAAATGACTAGGAAGAAAAGAAAAAATCTACAATATAACACTAAAATAAATATCAATAGTGCAATATCCCTATCCTCGTAAATACTATATTCGTTGTCAATTAAGACCAATTGAGCTCCATAATAAAGAATAATAATTAAAATAACATAACCATACCTTCAAAAAAATACAATCTCCTTCCTAATCCTATTGTCGGCCAACGGATAGTTTGGAGCAATTATAGATTGCACTTCTCTAGAAATGGAAGTAAGAGCCTTAAAAACCGTATCATCTCTATTCTCACTAGTAAGAACCTTCACCTTAAGTTGAGTATTCTCCACCTTAGTAGGAACCTTCACCTTAATTATACTTTCTTGCCTCTTTTTTCCGTGGTGTTCCAACTATGGTTCTATGTTTATTTATACCTTTTTTCTACAAAACTCATTTAAATATTCACAAACAAACTTTAAGCTCTTGTCATTTTTATACCATCACTTTAGTTTCCATCTGATTTCCTACAAGATTATGTCATTCCTTAACATTTTCAAAGGTTTTACTTTTATGCTTTAAAATATGTACCCATACTCTTCTAGAAAAATAATAAATCATGATGAGAAAACATAAACAACGTATGAGTTTCTACCCTTTGTGAACCCTAAATATTAGAGTGAACATACTTAAAGCATTTACAAGAATTATGAATATCACTTCCAAACTTCACTCTATGTTGTTTTCATAGTATGCAATGATCATAAAATTTTAGTCGTTCAATTTTAAATGACCTAGAAAACCCTTCTTAACTAGTTCAACCATACTTATTTCACTAACATGCCTTAATGTCAAATGCTCTAATTTTATCATAAAAGTCTTAGATAGATAATGATTCATTAACAATTATTGTGAAACCATACAAAACTTACAAACTACACATTTTCTATCCTTTAAGAGTCATTAATGCACCATACAATAGTTTCAACATATCATATTAAATTATAGGTCAATAGGTTAAATCATTAAACATGGTTATAGACACGACAATTTCCTTTAATGTTTAGTAGCATACCTTACATTGTATAAACCTTAAACCCTAAATCTTAAATCATAAACTCACAATTTTGGTTTTTTCCGTTGTCAGTTATAAAATTCCTTGGAATTACTATCACTTATCACTATTTATGTGGTATTTTGGATCTAACTCTAGTTTTAACAAGGGTAATTTCTTGGTTCAAAAAAAACCATGCATGTTGTAGTTGAAGTTTGCACATGCATGTGCACATCAGCTTTTATATATCAAAAACTCGATAAATTCATGAACTGATGAGTGTGTTTTTATACTGTCAAAAAATTAGGGTTTTCCCCTTTGAATAGCATATCTTCTAAAATAATACTAGAATTTGCATAAATTCCTTTCTTCTAAAAAAATTATATTTAAATTTAATTTTGAATAATATCTTTATCAAAGTTAAATTTAAAAAAAAAAACTATATTTCATAGCAACAAACTATATTTAAATAAAATCTAAAATTTGTAATTTACATTACAGTATAATATTTATATTAAATTTAAAACTTTATTGCTATTTAAATTTCTTTCTATTTCTTCTTTTATAATTTCAGGAACAAATCAAATAAATAATTACTCGTCTTTAAAGATATAAACAAATTAAACAAAATAAATAACAATTTTATCCTTGTTTCATGAACTTACGACCAACCATAGAAAAAAAAAAAACAACCTTAGAGTTTTGGCTTTCTTGTCAACAACCATTAAAAAAATTATATACTATCTCTAAAAAGTAAAGACTGATATTTATTTTTTCGAGATTTAAATAATTCAAAATAGTCCTCTTAAGCATATATCGATTCATCCATGAAATTATAATAAATATATTTTTAAAAAAATCAAACATTAATTATTATAGTCAATCTTAATAAATAAAATATGAAGATCTGCTATGATATCTCTTGTTAGAGTTAATTTAATAATTAATCTATACAAGACATGCTTAAATACGAATATCAAATCTAAAATCATGATTTAAGGCGAAAGTAAAACAAACATATACATACACATAACCTTAAGATCAACGACATAACTCAGATCTCACCAAACACTCGTGCTTCGCAATCTCTTAGAATTAAGAAATGCAATTTTGTTACAATTCCGATCGTAAATTCAACGTGAATTCAAGAAACAAAAATCAATCACAATCGTCTCACGTACACTCGTATTTCTCTTGGTGTTTCCCGTAAATCTGAACCGAAACTCTAGATAACAATTTTTATTGCACAAGAGAAAGAAGATGAAAATGATAAAGATGACAGAGAGAAAAGATAGAAAATGTAACTAACTTCTCTTAACAGAAAAATGATTACAATGTAAAAATCTGTCATACAGATTCTAACTGATCAGAAGTTCAATTTTATATACACACTAAAACAATTGTCAAAACTAAATACTTCACAACTTAAATTTAAATGACAGATAAATAAAATGCTAACTGATTTTTTAACTTACACCCAACATATTTTAATTTAAAAGATTTTTTAAGACACTCTTGACACGGCCAAACAACATCGTCGGAGGAACATTACCACCACGGATTCCGCGTTAGTGCTATCAATCTGAATTTTAACTAAGAATAATTTTATATATATATATATATATATATATATATATATATATATATATATATATATATATATATATATATATATATATATATATATATATATATATATATATATATATATATATATATATATATATTGTGGAGGATCACACATGATTCTGCTGACTTGGATTACAGTACAAATTTATAGATAGACAAATATTATGTTTGTGAAACTAGGCTATCACTAACTATTTCCAACAATATTATTATGGAGTCCTACATATACATTGACCATGAAACTTGCACTATAAATATCATTCTGCATATCATCTCTACAATTGTATTAAGCATATAAGTTATTCTCCTTTAGTCCCTTCTAATTGTTTTTATTTTTCTCTGAGGTCCATTACTATAAATTTCAATGGATTCTGGCTCTGATATTTCAAGGGTGCTGTTCAATACAGCTTCTTATAGATTTGATGCTTTAAATGGGATTTCAAGAGGTGGGTTTGTATCAACAAACTCCTTGGTTCTAGATACTGGGAAAGGAGAACTAGTGAAGTCGCCACCAAATCCAATAATGGGAGAGAAAAAGATTTGTGATGCTACAAAAGCTTTGGTGGCTTTGAAGAGTCATAGGGAAGCAGAGAGGAGAAGAAGAAACAGAATTAGTGGTCATCTTGCAAAACTTCGAGGACTTGTTTCATCTTCTCCTAAGGTATTTTAATATTGTTCATTTCTTTATTTATTTTTCATTTTTGCTTTTATTTTTCCAAAGAATCTGTGTTTGAATACTTTTAATGATGTATGTAATAATACTGTTATAGATGGACAAAGCAACCTTGCTAGCAGAAGTTGTTAGGCAAGTGAAGGAACTTCAAAAGAATGCTGATGAAGAAAGCAAAGGCTATCTAATTCCAAAAGATAGTGATGAAGTGAGAGTTGAAATTGAACCATGTGAGAGTGGTGGCGTAGATGGATCAATTATTTACAAAGCATCAATCTGCTGCGATTACGGACCAGAGCTTCTAACTGATCTAAAACAGACTCTTGATAACCTTAAATTAGAATTGGTAAGAGCAGAAATGTCAAGTTTGGGAGACAGGGTTAAGAATGAATTTGTGTACACATGTTGTAAAGTGGACATTTATGATGTTGAGTTATGTCAAGTTATTGCAAGTAATGTTTATCAGGCACTGAGTTCTGTATTGGATAAGGCTTCTACTTCAATGGATTACGAATTAAGAGTACCGCGTCCTTGTATTCAGCCTCTGCATAGATCTACTTTGTCATCGTGTAACCATGAATTTTGTTCATGTTGATAACATTTTGGTTAGGTTCATTAATATTTGAAATATTTTCTGATTGGTCATTTAACTTTTTTCATGAATTGTTACTAATGAAGCTTCAAAGTTTTTTGTTTTGAAGCGTGTTGTTGTTTTTACAATTATGTAGCAAAATATTCAAGGGTGAACTATCCTTTTTTGTCATAAGCTATTTATTGGTTTTATGGAATACATAATATGTACTTCTTTACTAGATAAAATTGACCTACAAGATGCGTTGTAGTGCATAGGATATTTCCCCCACTCTTAAAAATTCGTAGTGTTATTTTTGAAAGTTCGCACCTCTGCATAAAAAAAAAAAATCAAAACTATCAACAACAAAAATTGATCTACCTGTATTTTTAAAAATATCTAATCACACCCTTGCATATACAAACAATTCTAAAACTTCGGTATGTTTTTATTTAGTAAAAAATATATTTTTTACTAAATTTTCAAATCATCGGATACCATACACCGATATTTAGAAATGTTTGATCAAATCTAAAATTTTATTTACATTTTTATCGATCATTTTGAAATTGTTGGTATGCCATATATGCATTTTTAACAACAATTTCAAAATTTTCAATTAAAACACATTCAAAAATACTATAAAAATACTATATGTTTTGAATTTGGCGATACAAATATAAACAAAAATTTTGAATTTTATTAGATATTTCTAAATTAACGGCGCCAATTTCTAAAAAATTTTTTGATAAAAACATGGTGTTTACTATATAACCAATGTCCCATCAAAATTGTTCCATAGGTATCTAAGCTTTGTAAAATTTCTAAAAAATGATTTTGAGGATATTATGGTAAATTTGTTGGTAACGTAGGGTTATGCATTTTTATTGGATTTTTTTAATTATCTGAAAATATATGTGGGATGTATTGGATTTTTCAAAATCTTGTAAAAGAACTATTTTTTATAGTATTTTAAGTGTTTAAATTTTTACTTGTGTAATTTGTTACAGAATTTATTGCGAATTTTGAACTATGTGTATTTATACATTTTTATTAAATTTTTAAAAGATCGATACCTAAATTTTATGTGTTTTTGTCAAATTTTTTAAAATATTCAATAATTTTATACATTTTAATCTTATTTTTTAAAAAATCAAATACGAAACCATTCGTATAATAATGTTTTAAGAGTTTGACTTTTACTTGGAGAATTTGCTGTAGAATTACATTATCTTTGAACTTTTATATAAATTTTATACGTTTTTAACTGAGATTTAAAAAATTTGATAAAACACAAATTATTTCTAAGGGATTTTTAGTTATAGCTATTAGATTTTTTTTTCTTCGTTTTTTTAGCTTTTTGAAAGAAAAAAAAGTCATAAATTTTTTTAAGATAAAAAATCAGAATACAATTTTTAATATTATTAAAATATGTGGGATGTCAGAAAACTAACTAAAAGGAAATTTTACTCCATATCTTTACAATTATACTCATACCCCTACACTAAAAATTTTTGGACCAAAATGCCCTCGTATAAAAAGTTATAATTTTTTGGTTTGTTTACCGGAAGACTTTTTGAAAGTATTTCGGTTCATTTTTTTTTTAAATTTTTAATTTTTTTTAATATTCAAATTACAAATATATTTATTCTATTTACTCCATTTTAGTTAATTAATATATTTATTCTATTTACTGTAATTTGTTATATTTATTCTATTTATTTATTTATTTAATAATAATCATTTCACTAATTTGATTTTTTTATTAATTTACTATATTTATTTACTTAATAATAATTACCCCACTAATTTGGTATTGTTTTTTTTAATCAATAAAAATAAAAGTTGTTAACTAATTTATATATTGATTGTGTTCTTTAAAGAAAGAAATTTAACAATTTAATAATATGTTTATATGAAAAATAAAAATAAATATCATATTTAAATTATAATCTTATCATTTCTTCTATCAAAAATTTTCACCAAAAATTATAATATATAACATTTATAATTATTTAAACAATATTTTATGGGGTAAAATATTAACTTTTAAAAATATATTTTATGGGGTAAAATATACTTTTAAAAATTTTCACCATAAAATATTAACTTTTAAATTTTGTAGGGGTAAAATATTAACTTTTAAAATATTAAAAACTAATTAAATCATAAATATTTATCAGAAGAGTGATGAAAACATGTTTTAGCATAAGAGTGTAGTGAAATCATCCAAAGGAAGCTTCCACCCAAAATCACTAATCAGGTAGATTCACTATTCCTTATGTTATTGGTTCGCTAAATATTAGCATTTCTTTGTGTGATTTAGGAGTTATCATCAATCTGATGTCATTGTCCATGATGAGGAAGTTAAAATATGGTGAGTAGAAACCTACTCAAATGATTCTAACACTGGTGGATAGATCAATCACATGCCCATATGGAATTCTTGAAGATGTCTCGATAAGAGTAGATGTTCTATCATTTTCAGTCGACTTTGTGATTCTAAATATGTCTGAGGATTTTGAGACACCACAATTACTCGGAAGAAAATATTTATGATTTAATTAGTTTTTAATATTTTACCCCATAAAATATTTCACCCCTACAAATTTTAAAAGTTAATATTTTATGGTGAAAATTTTTAAAAGTATATTTTACCCCATAAAATATATTTTTACAAGTTAATATTTTACCCCATAAAATATTGTTTAAATAATTATAAATGTTATATATTATAATTTTTTGGTGAAAATTTTTTATAGAAGAAATGATAGGATTATAATTTAAATATGATATTTATTTTTATTTTTCATATAAACATATTATTAAATTGTTAATTTTCTTTCTTTAAAGAACACAATCAATATATAAATTAGTTAACAACTTTTATTTTTATTGATTAAAAAAAACAATACCAAATTAGTGGAGTAATTATTATTAAGTAAATAAATATAGTAAATTAATAAAAAATCAAATTAGTGAAATAATTATTATTAAATAAATAAATAGAATAAATATATTAATTAACTAAAATAGAGTAAATAGAATAAATATATTTGTAATTTGAATATTAAAAAAAATTAAAAATTAAAAAAAAAAAAACATGAACCAGAAGACTTCTAAAAAAGTCTTCCGGTAAACAAACCAAAAAATGTGAACCGGAAGACTTTCGGTAAACAAACCAAAAAAAGTGTGAACCGAAAGACTTCCAAAAAGTCTTCCGGTAAACAAACCAAAAAAAATGTGAACCGAAAGACATCCAAAAAAGTCTTCCGGTAAACAAACCAAAAAATTATAACTTTTTATACGAAGGTATTTTGGTCCAAAAAAATTTAGTGTAGAAATATGGATGTAATTATAGGGGTATGGGGTAAAATTTCCTAGGATAAAATACTCTCATATTGGGTATTGACAAGAGGCCCAAAACATATAACCCATTATTTGAGTAAATGGAGGAGAAATTAGTCTCCCCACTCCCCCTTATTCCTGACATTCCCACTTGAGGGCTTCTTTTTAATTTATGCCTTTAGTAAAATTTTCGGAAGCTTTTGAAAGTTCATAAAATTATGATTTTTTAAAAATGCAAAAACATTTATTTATTTTTTGAAAAATTCAAAAAAAAATGTATGATTTTTTTTACATATTTAAAAAATATGAAAAAATATATATATTTTTATCGGTTTTTCAAAAAATGAGAAAAAAATGCATACCTTCTCGCATGTGCATTCTAATTTTGGACATGACATCCTAGTAGGTCCTCAGCATCACGGGCTATCAAGTCGAGAACTGATGGTATGTTCATCATTTCTAGTCTGACATCATCATCATGAAACTATCCCACCCAACAGTACAGCAACAATATGATAACAATAATCAAATGTAAACAAAATGCAAACAATGCAATAATATACAACAAATAAAGCATCTAAAAATGCACAAATATAAACACTCACTGAAACATAAACAAAGAAGCGCTAGGTTTGACGTATGTATTTTTTTCGGAGTTTTTAAAAATACAAAACATTTATGTATTTTTATTGCATTTTTTGAAAAATCCAAAAAATGTATGCATTTTTTTCGCATATTTAAAAAATATGGAAAAATATATGATTTTTACCGGTTTTCCAAAAAATGAGAAAAATGCATACCTTTTTTCGAATTTTTTGAAATATGTAGTATAAATGCATTAAAAACTCGGGAAAAAACACAGTAAAAATTGAAACTTACTTGTCAACAACACCAAACACCAAATATTCGATAAGCTCTTTGAAAAATCCAGAAAATTACATAGCTTTTAAATTCGGAAAATTTCCAACATGTTTTATGTATAAAATTATAATATTGTATAAGTTTAATATAATAAAAATATAGAGGGTGTGGGGTGCCCGGTTTACTTGGGGTGGTATTGATAAAATGCATGAAAGGCCCAAGAATAATTTGACCAATGTATATTTGCATTTACCGTGACTTGAAAAATACAATATACTTTTTCAAACAAGTGGGGCACTACAAACATGAAAAGTTCAAACTAACAACACTAGCTTCAAGTAGTTGGCTCACAAACAAAACAAAAAGTTTCAAATGATTTACTTTTCGAATACTTTTAAGAAAATTTTATCTAGTATCATCATCTTTATCCTTATATTCCTATATCTTATAAAAAATATTAAATTTGTCTTTTATATTTTTAGCTAATTTATTATTTTATTTTTAAATTTTATTTTACACATCAGAAAACTTTTTGTAAAACAGTTTTGACAGTTATTTTTCAAAAAAAAATTTAATTTTTTTTATATACCAGAATATTTTGTAAAAGAGTTTGTGTAGTCAATTTTTATATACCGAAAAACTTTACAAAAGAGTTTTGATAATCATTTTTTAAACTCTTTTCAAAAAAATATTGTATACCAGAAGACTTTGTAAAAGAGTTTCGATAGTCAATTTTGGTGTATCGAAAGACTTTGCAAAAAAATTTTGGTAGTGATTTTTTAACTTTTTTTTGTTTACTGGATTACTTTGCAAAA